GGCGACTTCTCGCGCCCCTTATACATCTGGGTGACGTCATGCGCTTTGGTTTTCTTCCCTTATCGAGAGTACAAGCTAGCTGACACCTTAAAGTTACTTATATATTCTTTATGTTCAGTCAAAAGCTATTTAAGGTATCATCTGCTAAAAATTAACCAACCAATCAATCAACCGATCAACAAATGAATCGAATGAACCGAACCTCCTGGGCTGCACTGTGCGACCCTTTGAGCCCTCAGAGACATGCGTGGATTGTTGTTCGATATCTTTATTCTTAGAGCCCGGCCCTCGCTCGGCCCTCGGCGCCCCGCTAGAGACCCGCAACGAGTGAGCTACGCGAGCAACGCGCTGGAGCCGCGCGCTGCGAGCTATTTTGCTCGTAGGGCCGCGCGCCTCCTTGGCGGAGACAGCCTAGCTTTTCGGAGGCCCCCCTGGCGCTGCTCGCGCTGCTCGTGCGAGCAAATTTGCTCGCAGGCCCGGCCCATTGCTACAGCATGCAGGTTCCCCTGCTCGCCGTCGCCTGCGCCTGCAGCGCCACCGCGCTCACAAGCCACGAGCTAAATAGCTCGCGCGAGCCGAGCAGAGTAGCGGCCCTCGTGTGAGAGGTGCGCAGAGCTCCGGGCTGGTATCGCCTGGGCCAGGGACACCCCGAACGAGACTACTCCCTCCGCTGTAGCGCGCGTCGGCTCGCCTGCAGCCTAGCCTCAGACGGGGTGGTTTCTGGCCGGGCCGGCTCCCAGGCGATACCAAAGCGCTGTGATTGGCTGCCGCTCGGCTGCTCTGCGCACCTCTGACACGAGGGCCGCTAGAGCAGAGCCGAGCAAGGAAATCGCGCGGTCCACGAGCAAAATAGCTCGCCGCGCGCGGCTCTAGCGCCTTGCTCGCGTAGCTCACTCGTTGCGGGTCTCTACGCCCCGCCCTGCCGCACAACGCCCTTCGGCTTGTCAACCGTCTTGGCAGCGGCGCCGTATCAGACAAGTGTGAGTGAGATCACCCCGATGGGGAAGCCGCCCCCCACCCTTCCGCACGCCCCGGCCGCCGCCCGTCCCCCGTCCCCGGTCCACTCCCGGGGGCGCCGAGCAAAACACCTTGCCACATCCTGCCAAAC